AGGGTAGTTCAGTAAGATATATTGAAAGCAAAACAGCCACTACTTTTCTCAGTGTATACCAAATCCATCCCCACCCTCTTCTTCCGCATATTTGTTAGGCGATGGGTTCTTACTTCGTTGGTCCGTTGCGACGCCGGAATTCCTTGTTACTTATTCTTATTATTCTGGCCATCCATCTCATCTTCAGTATCGAGTGAGTGTAAGCGGCAGCTGTTGATGATATATGTTATTAGTTTGTTGGAAATGCTTTTCGTAACGTGCCAACTCTCTCAACCAACACATAGAAGCACTCACTTGGCTGTAATTGGTGTTGAACATCCGGGTCTTCTTCACACTTTATGCTGAGTGCAGTGCAACAGATCTTCACACTGATTTCAAATTATTAGAGGAAAACCTGTCTCGCCATCTTTCCAATCGTAGCTTTGACATCATCATCTGTGCCACCGTCACCAGCTATAGTTGAGACGATGCTGCCTGGCAGGTAGGTAGGTGAGAGACAATTTCCTTAAGATTTCTCTCGATCACGGTGATTGCTTCTTTCTGTTCTTGTTGGTGTTGTTCGTCATAGCGGTAGTGGTCGGATATCTTTATCACCTCTGTCTTCTCTACATTCACCTGAACGAAGTCCCGTCCTCCTTCGCTGCCTCACCAGCCTCTTCTGCCAACTTGTTAACTTTCGCCTGAACATCTCCGAGTTTGTGTGACATAACACATCAGACATCAATCATCATCGGCGGCGAAATCCAAATCTTCTTCTGGGGTCTTTTCATCAGTCAAACATCCTATGCTCCTCTTCTCGTTCCTCACAGTTTCTTGCATGTACCAGACAACTCCTGTCGATCACAATCAGATCAGGAAGATGATGGCGGCAACCGTTTTGTCTTACTCCTTCCTGTCTTCACCTAAATCGCATCAGTGAGCTTGTCATTGTGTTGTGAATTCACTTGGCATGTAGCCTCATCATATGGGTGTTGTGGAATGAGGTTTGATAAATGTTTGTGAAATTGAAAGCGTAGTGGTGAAGCAGTTTCCAAATTACTTCTCGATCGACGTTGTCGAAGGTCATTTTAGTTTGAAATAAAGCGACTTTTACTTTAATTTCTAGGGGAATGATAAAGTAAATAGTTTTCGAACCAGTTTGTGTATTATACAGTGTACTGGAAATGACCGAAGTCTGAGACCACAATTACATATCTTTGTAAATAAAATGGGCTGGAAAGAATCAATCCTTGAGCTATCTGAAGTAAAAGTTACTGTCATTGTACTAAAACTCCATTTTTCTCAATCCTAAAGTTTTGTCTTAGTACGTTAGACAAGATTTAAGTCATCTATTTATGTGAAAATATTAACCTCAACCTATTTTGTCATTCAAGAGAACTAGATAACTTTTTATCGTTTCTTATGGAAACCTACGTGTTAGAGATTTAGCACAGGATTGCTGAATCCCACTGTGACTAAGTTACCATTCAACTAGTTTGCTGAATTCCTACGTCCTTCATTTTGCGATATTGTATGACTAGCAACCGGTTGATACCCTTGTTACCATCAGATTCTACAGTTTTGCATTAGAACATTGGAAAATTCATCTCGATTTAGGTTACTAATGTTTACTAGAAACTTATTCAGTTTTTAATTCATAAGGACAGTAGCTAGAGTAGTTTTTTAAAGCCTGAGAGAATTAAAAAAATGTTTCATCCTAATTTGGGTCACCTTAGCATTGTGTAACCATAACTGGGCAAGAAACAGAGTAAACAGAATTATTAATTTATCAACCATTCAATTTCAGTTGATTGGCTGAATTTTAAGATGCTAGTTGTCAGACTTGGCAGTACTGGGCTCTATCCTCATCAGTTCGTGGATGCTTACTGTTGAGAATTCAACTTATATCATTCCATAGTAGTATCAGAAACAAGCTATTCAACGAATTTATTCTCTAGCTGTACATTCGTGTATATATATATATATATATATATATATATATATATATATATATATATATATATATATATATATATATATATATTGCATAACAAAGAATGAAGGGATATTGTGGGCTTGTGAGATACATCGACTCCAAGAAGCCTCAATAATCTAGTCATGATCTCAGGGACGTTCTTTATGTTTATTATTATTATTAGTCCCTTGGGTTCCTAGTGGAACATAGGGCTTCAGTAGCACGTCTCCAGTGACCTCTGTTCTCTGAGATCTTTTGAACCTGGTCCCACGACAGCCCAGCTCTCATTTCCTCCTCGCACGATCTCCTCCAGGTCACCCTCGGACGTCCAACTCGTCGCTTCCCATGGGGATTCCACTCGAGCAACTGGCCTGACGCGTGATGTCCCCAGTCCGCCTTCTCAGTGTATGCCCAATCCATCTCCACTTCCTTCTGCATATTTGTTGCATGATAGGTTCTTGGTTGGTTCGTTCCCAGAGCTCCTTGTTGCTTATTCTTTCTAGCCATCAAGGACGTTCTTTATGTAGGGTAGGAAAATCCGTTTGTTAGCTTTCGAGGTTGACAAATCATTTAAACATCTTTCTTTTTTTCACAGGGTTAATGGACTACAGTGTATCTTTGCTCATTTGACTAGTGTTTTTATACAATTGATTCTGTGCGCTGTTGGATTTTTTCTGCTGTAGGACTTCAGGATTTGATCCCTATGAGTTGGCTTGCTGTGTACTCAATTTGTTCCAGTGAACAGAACACCTTAAAAATGCAAGTTGATTTCTTTTTTATTTGATCCCTCCTCAATTATGAATTTGATATTGTTAAAAATATTGTTGATTAATTTGTAAGCATCTTCAAAATTGCTTTTTTCAATGATGAAAAATATGTCATCTACATATTCAATCCAAAGTTTTGGTTTGATCAACGCCAATACCACAATTCCCAAGCCTTGGATTACTGTTTCTGCAGTTATTCATGATATAAACGATCCCATTAGTGTTTGTTCTCTTTGTCTTCTAGTAGAGTTAGTCAGTGAAGTAACAATATATTGTAAGGCATAAATTAATCAATCCTATCAAACTTACACACTGCAGATGTGTGTTTCCAGGTGTGTGTATCATTGTTGAGAAGAAGAGTCATTGTGAAGAAACAGAAGACAACTCGACGACAGAATGTTTATTACGAACAATTGGAATGGTAGTGGTTACATATGGTACTCCTTGCACTAACGCAGTCATTTGCAAATGTCTTCGTTTCCTCTCCGTTCCTGTCTTGATTGCTGTCCTTGCTGTCCTGCCCATTGCCGATAATTCCCTATGATTCTGCCACCCTCTCGATATATACTACTTATATCCGTTGTTATCAGCAACGCCCACTACAATTGTACTCTTCAGAAGTTTTGGTTGAAATGAAAAAGCAATGACAAGACCTTGGCAAAAGAAACAAACCAATTACACACAAGGTCATCAGGACAAGCTACTAAAATTGCGAAGAAAACTATATCGCTTATCTTTCTTGTGAAGTTTGTGCTGATGATGTTGTCTAGAATGATAACGAAAGCTTTATGATTAAACAATCCAACTTTGAGAACACAACTGTATCAAAGTTATCCTCCTGAGCTGCAGATATCTTCCAACTTTTCGGAGGAATATGATAAAAAAGCTTTTTATTTGATAACACCTGTAGTAGAGTCATCGTATTTATCAAATATGCAGATAAATCACCCATCCACTTTCTTTCTATTTTCCTGAACAATAATGTGTCATTTCACGACTTTACCTAACACTGAAGTGGTCCACGGGAAGGCAGGCTGTTCTATAATGAGTAACAATCTACCCTATTAGTACATCAATTAATTTGAAATAAAATATTACAAAAGCGTGAATTTCTTCTCAAACCACCTTCTATAAGCTATCTATTAAAGTCATCATAGAACCGGGCATTATTGCGTAACGACCCGATTTGCTATATCTCATGTCACTACATCAAGTAAACAAGACAGTGAAGTACAAGATGAAGAGAAGAAAATTCAGCCGAGAGAAATATAAAGTACTCAAATAGAGAAAGGAAGAATGACAAAATGGTGAGATTCGGTATAGCATCGTTAACACGAGGATGATGTATGTACACATCTGCAACACTGACATCGATTCTGAACCACGTGATCACCTAGAATCTCCAACCACTGGTTCTTCTTGTCCCTCGGACCCCAACCACCTAGTCTGCATCTCCCCACTCACATGGCTCAAACTAACAGTCAGAGACTTCATACATTGATGCCATGTTTTAGTCTGGCCACCTCGGGCCTTTTTCCAGCTTCAACCTACTTCGGCCAGCACTGTGTGATGAGGCAATCGGTGACTGGGCATACGTAGTACGTGTCCCAACTATCTCAATCGATGAAGGTTCATAACCTCGTCTACTGATTCACCCCTGCTCCCTAGAACTCTACGCCTGACGTCTGAGTTACTCACTCACATGATGACATCACAGAATACGGCCTATACTAGGAAGGCGATGGTGGTCAATCACTTGAAGCCTTATCATATCTTCCACCTTCAATGGCCATGTTTCACAGCCATACAGTAGAACAGACCGCACTGCTGTGCAGGTGCAGTACACGCGAACCTTAATAGACAATCGGATATCACGGCGGAATCATAGGTGGCGTAAGTTGGCAAAAGTCAGTCGGTCCTTTTGCATTTCATGTAGAGCCAGAGCTGATCTCACTTCTCATGTAGGTGAATTGGTCAACACACTCAAACACTAAACTCTTTATTGTTAGCTGAAACAACGTGGAGGACCAATCCTGGAGCAATAATTTGCATTTGGGTGATGAGAAACGCATCCCAAACATTCTCAAATTGCTACTCCATATGTCTATAAGATGTAAAAGTAATATAGATTTATTTCAGCAAATTTTGCATATTTCTCCACTGGAAAATCAATCTAATTTATTTACTGTTATTACTAAAACATATATGCAGATTATCATGCCAAATTCTACAGAAATGCAAGGTACTATAAACAGGATAAATTTACGTCAAACACTCACCTGTACGTAAATTAGGTGATAATACGAGTACATAATTCCCATTGGGTCGATGTGTAAATTTGTCGAACTGTTTCTCGTAATGGAGGAAATATACCATAGGATAAACGGTTAAGAATTGGCCAACATGATTTTCTTCAAAATTCCTGGTTATTTTTAGAAAGTGTAAAAAATATACATATCCAATAAATCACACGAAATATTTTGTATTACAGAATGAGAATTATAGTTATTGTTCAAGAGTTAATACTACTCACTGGACCAGAAAAAAAACAGATATAATGTTTTGAGATGTACAAACAATGATTGATAGTCGACGAACGAAACTGATGAACCATAGAACTCGTAAAAGATCTATATAGATATCTCCCCAGCATCATAAATAGCACAAAGGGCCAATTGAGCATTTTGTATGCATGACAATGTTTTGTGAACCAATGAACTAGTGGAGATGACTCGATTTCATAGACAGCAGAGTTGTGGCTAGCTTATTAGTCTAGGCAGTAGACTATTCACAACCAACCCCACCAACCTGAGTTCCAACCAAGTAGACAGGTAGTATCATTAACTGTTATACAACACGTTTGGCTCATTGCCAACTGCACAAACGTACACAAGATTGATGAGTGTATTTTGATTCTCGAATTGATAGACTAATGGAGTGGTCAATGTGCTCAATCATTTCACTTCGCATTATTAGATAGTCCTGGCGTAACAATCTGAAGTTGAGAGGGGATAATAGAATTCGAAACATTTGTAAATTATCACTCTATCCAAAAGATTTCACTTTGTCAGAATCTACATTTAACAGAACAATGCTGTTTTGGATTTTTTAGGTCAACTAAGGCATCTCTTACGAAACTACTATTGTTAAGTATAAGGGTTTTTATATGATACCGTCGTTGATTGGACCGAACTGATCGGTCTCTATTACCATATGGGCTCCTGTGCAGATGCCTCGATACTGCCAGCAATCTAATTATGTTAATGATGGATCCTGGCTAGCAGTAGAATCCAGGATGCGCATTTCGTCCTACTTGGGACTCGTCAGCTGGATGTACCTGCTTCCCAGTGAGTGATGTTGTTCCCGCCGGGATTCAGACTCGGGAGCGATCCAGCTGACGAGTCTCAAATAGAACGAAATGCGCATCCTGAACTCCACTGCTAGCCACGATCCATCATAAACATAATTAGAACACTGGCAATATCAAGGCATCCGCACAGGATCCCATATGCGAATAGAGACCGATCAATTCGGTTCAATCGACGACGGTATCATACAAAAACCCTTATACTAAAAACTATGCCCGTCCCACAAGAAGTGGCTATCATGACTCGGTGGTGTAGTGGATAACGTGCTGGTGTTTGAAGCGATCACTCCCGAGTCCGAATCCCGGTGGGAACAACACCCACTGGGAAGCAGGTGCATCCAGCTGACGAGCACCAAATAGGATGAAATGTGCATTCTGGATCCCGCTGCTAACCATGATCCATCACTAATATTATTGTTAAGGTGTGTCGGAATCAGAATAAAACATTGATTCTGAGTAATCACATGTTCAGTAATTACCATGTTTATTAAATTTCATGCTAATAATAAGTGATAGTAAGCCTTATTTTAGTAAGCTTTATACACGTCCAGTTGCTTTTACGTGGCCGGAAATGAAAGTGGCATGCCCAAAAATACCTTTAGAAAATGAAGGATACATGCATGGTGGGCAAAATGAGCAAAACAAAAACGTCAACTACTCTTCCAATACTCTGTTCCACGTGTCCTCTTTTAGTTTGTTTTCAAGTTGGTATTCATCACAGACTGATATCATTTGGAGGAACACTGGAAACCTGAGAGCACTGGACAACTGTTTCGTCCAACTAGCATGAGACTCCTCAAGAGTACGCGCCCATCACCCTGCACCTCCAAGGATCGGACCCAGGGCTTTCAGGCTTCGCGGTCAGCACGTTACCATTGAGCTACTGGGTCGGAATCCAATGATCCATATTTCCAACTCCTCTCAGTTCACGACATATAGCGACCATCACCCAATGTCATCGTTGAGTATTTGTCTACCAGGTTTGTCCCACCAGTCACGATTTCTCGTCGGAACTTCAGGAATCACCTCTAGAAGTGCACTAGATTAGTTGAATTTCGCGGTTTGTGGGTATTTATTGACTTCAAGTTGGCATTCATCATAAACAAACATCAGATAGAGAAACGTTGGAGCTTTTAGGTCCAAGGTTCGACTCCCGACGGGATCACTGGTGCGCACTACCGAGGAGTCTAACACTAGGATGAAACAACTGTCCAGTGCTCCCAGGCTTCCGATTTTTCTCTAACTGACGTCAGTTCATGATTAATACCAACTTGAAATCAATAAATCCCCACAAAAAACCCCAAATTTAGCCAGTATCATTTACCAGATAACGTTTCACTGTGATATATTTCTGATAAACAGACTAAAATGGAATTATAATCTACCACACTTATATTTAAATGATTGTTAGTGGTTAGCTGTGGAATTCAAGACACATGTTTCGTTCTATTTGGGACGCGTTAGATGGATGTATCTGCCTCCTTGTAGGTAATGTTGTTTCCACTGAGACTCGAACTCTGGACCAGAGAGTTATCCACTAGACCACCGAATCAGGATAGCCACTACTTGGGCAACAACACTAATCTACCACAATGTCTAATTTTTATTCGTGTCTCCGCATTACACCAAAACTGTTTCTCAACTATAAGCTTCCAAAAGTGGCATACTTACTATAAACGTAAGACTAAGAAACATTTTTTTTCCTGGTAACAGAAAGTGCACGCTGTTATTCAGCTCTTATAAAAATAAATGCTTAAAACTCACCTGCGTACTATTTCTTGAACAGCTGGTTGAAGTTTATCAAAACTACAAAGTTCTTTACGGTTATGCAACATACTGACAACAGTATCACAACTTCGAAAAAGTTCCAATAAAACTCTTAATTTATGTGGAAGAATAAGACCAACAGGAATTGTTAAATCTGTTTGTGTTAAATCAAGATTTGTCGATGAGATTGCACTTTCAACAATGTCAGTAGTTATCTTTAATTCATTTGATTGAGTTTCATGAGAAGAAATAATCGGTTCTGTCAAGTAAGCAAATCGTTTGAATGCAGGTAGCTTTTCATCTTTTTCTAATTTTGAGAATGATAGTTTAGAACTTTGCAATGTTGATACTTTCTTTGGTTGTATACGTTTTTTGCGTTGTACAACAGTCTATGGAAAAACAAACAAAAAACAACCTAAAAATTTAAAGTGGTCAAATAGAAAAAAAAAGTGATGTGACATGTTTTCTTTTCATGATAACTAACCATCTGTAACAGCATGGCTGGTAAATAAATCTCATTCCCTTAAATAAGATGAAGTGAAGAACTATACTTTTGCTTTGTATCAGAAATACAATAGGCATCTTTCAGTGTAATAATTCAATCACGATTGGATATTGAAAAACATGACATTAATCAATATCAACAAATGACCAGGTACTACTGCGTAACGATCCGAGTTGCCATATCTCATATCACTACATCAAGTAAACAAGGCAGTGAAGTACAAGATGAAGATAAGAGAATGCAGTCAAAAGAAATATAAAGTACGAGAAGAAAGAAAGAAAGAATAAGAAAACGGTGAGGTTCGGTTTAGCGTCGTTAAGATGAGGATAATGTGTGTGGGGATACATCTACGACACTGACATCGGTTCTCAGCAATATCACATAGAGTCTCCAGCCACTGGTTCCACTTGTCCCGCCGACCCCAACCACCTAGTCTGCATCGCCCCACTCACATGGCTCAAATCAACAGTCAGAGACTTCATACATTAGTGCCATGTTTTAGTCTGGCCACCTCGGGTCCGTTTCCAGCCTGGACCTACTTCAGCCAACATTGTGTGATGAGGCAATCGGTGACTAGGCATACGTAACACGTGTCTCAACCATCTCAATCGATCAAGGTTCACAACCTCGTCAAACGACTTACCCCTTCTCCTTAGAACTCTACTCCTGACTTGTGCGTTACTCATGTGGTGACACCACGGAATACTGTCTATACTACGAAGGCAACGGTGGTCAATCACCTGAAGCCTCACATCTTCCACTTTCAATGGTCATGTTTCACAGCCACAGAGTAGAACAGAGTGGACTGCTGTGCAATACACGCCACCATTAATAGACAAACGGATATGACGGCGGCGTCATAGGTGGTGTAAATTGGCAAAAGCCGATCGAGCCTTTTCTACTCGTGCAGAGATTTCATCGGCAACTAACCCACCAGGGTTGATCCTACTTCCCAGTAAGTGAAGTGGTCAACACACTCAACCATTTTACTCTCTATTGTTAGCCGCGGCACTGCTAAAGACCAGTCCTGGAGCAAAAATTTGCATTTGGTGGTGAGAAAAAACATGACATACAGTCAGTAAAACACTTTCAAAAGGCTAAAAGATTATTCCTTTGTTTGAATCATTTATTAACAACCATGGAAGTTGTAATACATAACATAAAAATAAGAAAAGGGGAGAAACTTTTCGAAACATGTCACTACTGAGGTTAATTCTACCTGCCTACTCTTTTACTTATAGTAGTGCTACTGATAAGAAGGGATATAAGTAGAATATATTGAGAAGTCGTAAAAATCAGAAAGCAATTACTAACGATGGATAAATATTCTCCGCAGAGAAACGCAAGAGACAATCTGAGCGTATTAAAAGCAATTCGAGATAGAAGCAGAAGAGGAAATGGAAAGTGTACAATGTTCCATCACTACTGTAGAAGATGTCACAGTAAACATTTTGTCTTGAGTTTCAGTCTTGTCGTTTCTTACAGTAGTAACACGTCATAATAACCCACGATTGGTTAAATATAGAATGCAGTGTATCCATTTATGTTCATAAAGGTCCGTAAATATACTACAGATATACTGATCATGGCGTTCACTTTAACTAATGATAAATCAGTCATAATAAAAGAGCCCCTGTTGCTAAACTCTGTACACGTTTGTTGGTGGATACTTAGAGATTTCAAAAAAATACCAAATGACTCATATTGAAAGATGTGAATAAACTTTTCAGTGATATAAATATAAAACTTGAACACTATAATAGGGCAATTCAACATTAGATTAACTTATTTGACATAGTAATAATAGTAATGAAGTATTAGTTACCCGATAACGTTGCCAATACAACAATCAAATGAAGGTAATCAGACAACTTTCTTAATTTTCATCATTCTATCAATGTTTCTACTCCGATCCCATCGATGTTATACTTTCCCATATCTGAAAACAGTGTTGAATCATTCCTACTTCAAGTTTTCGGGAAGGACAGATAAACACAGATTGAGTAACCAACTTCTTCGTGCAACTAATTATATGAATCTTTAGAATGTTTTTTCCTCTATTACTGATCATAGTCGGGTCTATCGTTTTTTCTATGCTCTGCTACTACTATTACCCTGAGTGACTTCGATCGGCTACTTGAACCTATGTATTTGATCTTACAGTCATTCCAAAGTGATTGATAAACTAAAGTAAACTAAAACAACGAAGTCCTTAAACTGAGGCGCCCAGACTAAAACATGGTACCAATGTATGAAGTCTTTGACTGTTGGTTTGAGTTATGCGGGGCGATGCAGACTAGCCGGTTGGGGCCCACCGGACAAGAGAAACCGGTAGTTGGAGATTCTAATGGTGATCACACAGCTCAGAATCGATGTCAGTGTCACAGATGTATCCCCACACACATTATCCTCATCTTAACGACGCTACACCGAATCTCACCATTTTCTCATTCTTCCTTTCTCTTCTTTCGTACTTTATATTTCTTTTGACTGAATTTTCTTCTTTTCATCTTCCACTTCACTGCCTTGTTTACTTGATGTAGTGATATGAGATGCGGCAACGGGGATCGTTACGCAGTAACGCCTGATTCTATGTTGACTTGGATGGATGGATGGATTTTTCTTGTAATGAGTTTGTAGGTTTCACAATCCCACCTCAATATCACTTCCTTATATGGCAACCTTACCTAGAATTTCTTCTCAGGGGTGTTACAATCATTGTTCACAGAATCACTATTTCTCATTTTTTTCACGACTTAGGATGGACAGAGCTTCTCTTAGGTATCTCATCTGTTTATTTGCCTTTTTCTGACTTTATGGTTAGACTTCTAGTTCAACCATAAAAACATGTAACCAAAGCTGTTTACTGGTAAGGAATGAGGTGACCTAAGAGTTAGATACCTACCAAAATGCTATGCTTTTCAGTAGACGCTTGTCTTATTCGCCATATTGTCTTCGTTTTATTACTCGGTCATCTCTTCTAAGTCAAAAGTAAGGTGAACCCCATTTACCACCATGTTTATGTGAAGAAGCTATATGTTCCGATTTTAACAGAGCAATTAGGTCACCCACATACTCCACTATGCTTTTGTTCCTGTCTGACACGATCAGAGATAGCTATGCATCCGATTGTCAATTCTTTCGATTGTTCATATATTTTATCATGAAATTTCAAAACTATAGAGAAAAAAAAATTGAACTCAATCGGTAGCCTATTTATGGATGGGTTCATGACTTACGATATCGTCTAGAGCCAAACTGATTAGTACACTAGAAAATAAGCTTTCTACATAAAAACTTCATCTTTCTCTTATCTGCATATCACCTAACAATTATTCGCTTTCGTATAAATTCGTTAGCCTGAAGTTTGAACAGTTTTTAAACGAGCCCAATATCGATGCTAAACATTTAGATAGCTTATATGTTGTATGCTTAAAGTATACTTAAAATCACCCACTCGTTTAATGGGATAACCTGGTTACTAGATTTTACTAGTTTCAAACATTCGACAGGAATTACTAGTTTTAGGCACTTAAGTAAACCATTTTTGACTAATTCGGAAACACCTCTATTACAGTGTATTAAATTCAGCTGTAAAAAGGTTTCTCAGTCTCTGCATATGGATCCACTTGGATCTGTTCATTGACTTCCATGAAGTAGACTGAATACACCTGATTAAGTTCATATGAAGAGACTAAGCAACTTGCAATGTTGTGAATAAGATTAGGAAGTTTACAACTAATGTAATAAGCTGAATGAACTAATCTTTGAGTGAGTCGAAAGTAGTGCTTGAAATTGATAGTTACCCAGTAAATAATACTGTGAAACTCACCGTTGTCTTTTTGTGATCTCTCCTAACACACCCACTGACTGCAGTTTGGATGAGTTACACCGAAAACCGTCTAGCCTCCTTCCGGAAGCCAAACGTTCAGATGTGGTTGTTGTTGTAGGTGATTTCAATGCACAAGTGGGTAGGCTAAGTTAAGTAGAAAGGCAATAAATGCCCTTTCGGAATCCTAGCTGAAAAAACGAACGGTGATCGCCGACTAAAACTATGCCCAGATAACCATTTATTTCTAGCTAGCACACACTTCAGACATGAAGACATTGTCTGAAGTGTTGTCCACAGAACTCAGCTCAGCGATGGACACAGATAGACCATATTGTTACCAGCCATCACTGGAGAGGGTCGGTGGAAGACTGCCACTCTTTTCTTCTGGAGCACACGTTTGGTTTAAGTACGTATGTTTGCATCTCAATGGACGCAGAAAAACTTTAACGACAAGACCATTACGAATGCAGCTCGAGAACTGGAGTAGTAAATCCGCTGGTATATTGTTGGCCGAACTAGGTTTAGGCTGGAAAAGGGTTCGAGGAGGAGAATAAAAACATGTCATCAACGCATGAAGTCTTCGACTGCTGGTTTGAGCCGGTATACTTAATCGTTTCATTCTTCCTTTCTCTCTTTTACTACTTTCAACTTCTACTTCCTTTGACCGACTTTTCTTTCCTTCATCTTGCATCTTATCGGTTTGCTACTTGATGTACTGATATGAGGTGTGGCAACTTGGATACAGTAATGCCTGGATCTATGTTGATCTTGATGATGATGATGAAATAATACTGTCACTTTGTGCCATATCAAAGAAAAACCCTTTTATAGAGACTTCTTTGTATATGATGAAATACCGCTGGTCAAGCCGAGGTAAAACTACTACACAAACGAGATTTAACTCACGCATCTCAATCCTTATCTAAGTCGGAATACAAGATGAAGATTGCTTCTGAAAGATAACTTAGCATTTTAATACAAAAATTCCAACGAACAAAAGAAAATGAATCATAGCGCACTTATCAACTCTGTGCAAGTTCATGAAGTAGACAATGAGTCACATCTAATACTTGACGGTTAGTGAAACTACCTGGCTGCCGAAACATCGGTACGTGGAGCAGTATCAGACAGACAGACAAAATCAATGTACAAACTCCGAAACGAGTGCATCAGTTTAAGTTACCACATCACACTAGTAGTATACAAAGAACAAGTGGGTATAAAAAAGTGACATGAAGGTAAACATAATTGTTTGAGAGAAGAAACGATTTGAAGATAAAGGTTAGCGCAAATATTCAAGTTTGGAAGATATCAAAAAATCAACACATCTGCGCCACTGTGACTGAATTTCGGTCATATTACCAAGAGTACCTAACCACCAGGATCCGAGTCAAGCAGTCTAAACCTGCTCATACGGCTCAGACCAACAGTATGCGACTCCATCGACTGGTGCCTCATCCTCGTCTGGTTACTATGACACTCTTCCAACCTAATCCAACGTCCCCAAACATAGTAAGTCAAGGTAAGCGGTAGCTTGACATGCACGGTACATACCCGAGCCATCATACTCGATAAACATTCCCAAACTCATAAATCGGCAAACCTACGTTGCTGAGTACCCTTCACATGACCCAAAAATTGCTCACACGAAGATCCCAAAAAACGCGAAAATTACAGAGGAGACACATACGATCGAAACCCTGCAACCATTTCAGATCTTCTACCTTTAAGGGTCAAGTCTAACAGCCGTATAACAGGTGAGAACTGACTACAGTTCAGTGCAGTGCACTCATCCTTTGATAGATACTCGGATGTCCCGCCAATAACACCCACGGATGACGCAAGTTGGAAAAAACGACAAACTGAACACGCGTATCCCAGCTTAGATTTCGTCGCCAACCACAACGTTCGGCTTGATGCAACTCATCAAGTACGTGAAGTGATATACATCCCGTTATTTCACTCCCTATCGTTCATCTGTGAGGAGTTGCACACGTCTTCAAGCGCCATCTTACTTGTGACGCGGGAAAAGTATACCAAACGCATGTTCCAATCCCTGACTTGCCGCATGAAAGTCAACTGCCTAATCACAGCTACAAATACTAATCTACAAATCATATTGTTTTAGAATCACTAGACAAGTGTGAGCATGTATATTGAGGTGAAACAGTTAGGTATCAGGTTATATGATTTGACACCGGACCCAATAATAGGGATAATATCACTCTCGGTATTAAAAAACAAGCATCACCTTTCATTCCTTGTTTCGGACCTGCTTTCAATCCAGATTATTTATTAGTACCTTTACTCACCCGCCATTTTTCTGTGGTGCTTTGAGTTGCAATCAAATCATGTGATGCATTATTTCTGTTGCATAAATTTCAAATCAGTGGATGCTTTCAGAAATAAAATAAACTGTGAAAGACCATAACCATAAAAATTGATGAGTAAGTAAAGGCTGACTTAAAGTTGAAATCCTATCACATAGACATTCAAAACCAGGGTCTGCTCCAAAAACTACAACTCAATTATTCACTTCATAAGTTTTCCCTGCACCATTCAAAGCAATCAAAAGACGAGAGTAGGGGTTTGAAAATATGAGGCTTTAAGTACATTAGGTTTCCAAAATCCTAGTCATGCGAAGAAAACGATGGTGATACTAATGATTTCCCCCAACCCATACTTCCTTTTCATATGGAAGCTGTACAGAAACAGACAGACACGAGAAAAAAAGAGTCTATTCATCGAAATCAGAGTGACTTGCATTTCACTACAGTAAGGATATTCTGGTGCACAAAGAGTATTAATGAAGGTTATGTCCTCAAGTTCCATATCCATTGAAGTCTGAAGACCTCTAAGTAGCAATGTATGATGTATGCCAAACCTACTTCGATAAGTTGACAGACCTGATTTTCACAGGATAAAAAATGAGAAGAATTTGAACACAACATTGTATGCCTTAGAATAATGGTCCATAAATCATGAACTTCCCAACCTTGAAGCGACACTCCCATTACAACAAGTCTATGACTTTCTTGGTCAAACCTATTCAAAAGCTAAAGCAAAACTTTGGAAATCATAAAACACTACTCAATATAGTCGAAAAATCCTGTCGTACCGCAACACTGACTGGATCGCCATAGTGATCTCAAGTCGACAGGGACTGCAATTATCTAGTGGAAGCAAACATTAGGTTACATTGAGGCAGCATCAGTTGTATATCAGCGTTTCAGTTTAAATTTCCTGAAATCAGAAAGAAGGGGAATTCCACCTGATGTCAGTCATATATTCGGGTATGCATTGCGATTCCACAACATAAACGTGATCGGAATTCTCTAAACAACAGCACCTTGCTTCAGAGAGCATCAATTCACGATTTTACTTCACCCATAACCCTGGTCATGAGATACTCTGAGAGGAAATTACGTCAAGGCTCACATCATTCAAAACCTTGATGTGATGTAACTAAACATCTCCGTTGACAATCACACTAAGTGCATACTGATATCTTTTTAGCAAGAAAGTGCAGAACGACATAAGATATCATGCATATCTCCTTGAAAATCACCCTTCCCACGCATCAAAATGCTCAAAACCTTCACTAGCCGAAAGTGTACATAAATATGTTAATATCAGCATAACAATAAAACCATAACCCTACATTTAATTACATGCATTCTTACCTTCTCTTTAGCAGGTAAAGGTTCATTCTTGTCCACAACAGAATCATCCACCTTACAACAGTACTGGGGGGCTGTTTAGGGTTCAATCCAGCATCAGGTTTCTCGACAACACTTACGAGGTGAGCAAAACGTTGGTAAGCGGGTTTCTTAGCCTCAGTTGTAACCTGAAGTACAGCAAAGGGAAGTAAAATTACATTATAAAACTACTTCTGTTTCTGGTGACTTCTCGAGGACCAGTCGTTTCGCTCTTCGTATATTCTGTGGAGTCTTGCTGACTCTAAAATAACCATCTATGCGCGAATTCTGCATCCTTGAATTGCCGCGGATTTTCAAGCCTATGCAAAAGCCGCTGCCAAACAGCTTTACAGAACTTTATAGTGAAGTATAACTTTATCGTTGTTTGAATCTTTTGTGATTTTGTTAACTGATGGTCATTTTGTGTGAAATATGTTGTTTTGAATGTTCTTGCTTTTCATACCTTATTGCAACATGTGTAGCTCAAATGGTTCCAATGTTTGTAGACGGGATTGGAGCTTTCGCTTAACTGGTTTCCGCGTCTACAATCCCTGGATCAGTACAGCTTGTAGTTGCTAACCTGCGTACAAGTAAAGAAAGGAGAAAAAGTGAAGATTGAAATGTGAAAATTCAATTAGTTCTGGGCAGATACTAGACACATGTCAATGGGTACCCAGTAGGGGCTTAAACGATTCTGATAAGGTGACCTGGATCAAATCTTCAGGATGAGCGTTCCAGGGCTTGAAAACTCTTGGGGAATGGAAGTTGTGGGTGGCCAGGTGTGCTCAGAATGTTGTTCCAATATCCAATATCTTTTAATGAGCTGGTGTAAACCAATTGATTTCTTCGCGCTCTCTTCTAGGTCTTGAGGAGCGGTTCCAGGTCTTTGGTGGATTCCAATGCATACGTCTACCCACTCGGCCGCTGTAGCTCTGGTTAGCCCGACGGGCGGTTGGGTGCTGGTTAGATTTGTGGAGAGTGTTGTCTGTTTGCTTGCTTTTTCTTCCGAGAACTGTGGCGTAGATGGGTTCCTCAAATGTCGTGCCAGCAGATAATTGGTCGGACTGGTCGTAAAAAGATGAAATATATGTGCAGAGAAATCAAGGGACAGAAAGTGCAGAGCGAGGCAAAATGGAAAAGGAAAAGGAAAAGAGGGAGAAAAATAATATATAAAAAAGTTTAGGAAAAAGAAAACGGCACGGTAGAATAAACATTGATAGGTTCATGGGGAATAGGTGACAGGGAGAGCTTTTGTTAAAGTTCGAGAACGTAAAATCAGAAGTAAGAAGAATAAATAACATTATAGGACTAATGGGAATATAGTAATTCATTTAGTTGGAGACGGTAACTGGAGGAGACGTCTACAGGAAGGCATGAGGTTGAGTCAAGTTCTCATTGATAGTGGTTTCACAAATTGTTCAGTAACGGTTGATGGTATCGAGTTAGTAAGTCGTGTCAGCCCAGTCCACATCCTAGTTGGATGAGCGCAAACCGTGTACCGCTGCGTAACTGTCCAACCTCTTCTTGAAGCTGTCGATAGACGCAGCGATAGCAAACTTGGCAGGCAATGCGCTCCAGTGGCCGCAAACTCGCAGAGAGAAGTGTGATCGCGCATGGGTTTTCGCTCTTCGGTGAGCGATTCTACTTGGGTTATCACGAGGATCTCCATGGTGGCCGTTCGGTCGTATTCCGCCATTCGGATGACTTGGGTTACTGAGTATTTTGTAAGCCATTATCAAGTCATGACGTAATCCACGGTCACTTAGTGGGTAGAGCCCTGGATCGTTCAGCCTGTCCTGATTTGGTTTTTGCCCCATTCCCACGACACCTTTGTAGCTCCCCTTTGGACTTTCTCCAGGAGGTTCACGTCCCCTTTCAGATATGGTGATGGAATGACATTCTGCACCTCTATGTGGGGTCTTATGTCGGTCTTATGCAGCTTCAAAAAGAGTTCCGGGGTCAGGGCACCCAACTGTCTGCGTATAAAGTGCAGTACTACGTAGGCTCTGGAGGCATCTCCTGGATGACTGGAACTAGTGTCTAGTTTGTCAGTTAGTATTAGTCCTAGGTCTTTCTCTGTGGTGGTGAGGGAGAGCTGTGTTTCACAGAGAGAATAGAGTACCTTCTGAGAATCTGGGGCGCGGAGAATATGGCTCGACACTTATCTAGGTCAACTGCAAGTCCATTAATATTCACCCACTCTGCAAGTAATCTGAGATCATTTTGCAGTGCACCTGATTCTGTTTCTGACGTCACAGCTCTCCATAGCTTAACATCATCAGTGTAGGGTAGAATTGGGGACCCAAGACTCAGTGGGAGGTCGTTCACAAAAGGAAGGAATAGCAATGGACCCAGAATCGCCCCTTGTGATACACCAGATGATCATGTCTTCCAAGTCGAGCAAACTTCGATGGCTTTTCTTGCTGACCAAGGGTGGTCTGGTCTGGTTCTAATGCTGGATAACCTGTTGATGACTAGTGTGTGTGACACCAGCAAGAATCTTTCCGCTTCTTTAGCCGAGCCTAGGGTAATTCTCGTCGGCGGAGGCTCTCCCTGAGGTGTGCAGTTGCCTTTGTAGGGCCTGCATGGCTTTGCTTCTGGGCTACCCAGTCCTGGTGTGGTGTATACGGTCTCCCATTGCTGCCTGTTAAACGATTCTTTGTTCTCAAGGCGACTACCATGGCACACAGGGACGTTAAATAAGACGATGGAATTCCATCTGTCATCAGCTTCTCCACTTCCGTGTGTTGTGTGTGGTTTCTGTGGAAGGGTGCACCTTCCTTTCCACTGTCACCCATTTTTCCCATTGTACAGTGGGGGTGGCCGCTAAAGTGGTTTCAGGGTTAGGGACCAATATAGCTGGTAGCGTACTCGGTCATCGCTTTGGTCTTTTTGAACCATTCACCGGTGTGACTGGACGGGGCTCAGCGCTGACACTCTTGCTGCTTGGGCCTGGGGTAGTGGTCTGTGTGGGTGCCAGCATCACAGTAGTCACTGCGATGTCCCTTACGACCTCCATCAGCGAGCCTTTAGAAAAGAGTGGCCTTATACGGCACTGTGGTAAGATGTACCAGAACCACGTGCATGGGTGGCGCGCAATGAAGGTATAATATTGGTCTGGTATGTTTTCATCACACTGACTGTGCACCCACTTACTGCAGATGTTACACTCAAAGGCAGCATCCCTCTTGGTTACAGTGAGACCACATGTATGACAGTCGTCAGCCTGACTGGAAGGTTTAAGTGAAAAACTTGGGCACTGTGGTAGAATGTAGTTCCATATTAGATTTGTTTATTTGATATAAAGCGCACAGTGATACAGTATTATTTACTTGATTACGTTTCGAGCATAAATTATTGCTCATAATCATATCAATATCAATATCACATTGATATGATTATGAGCAATAATTTATGCTCGAAACGTAATCAAGTAAATAATACTGTATCACTGTACGCTTTATATCAAATAAACAAATCTAATATGACTGGAAGGTTTGTTTTTCGACTTTCTTTCCCTCTCTTCCGTCTCTCAGTGGTAGCCTCCACATGTAGACTAGGGTTTGGGCTGGTGGCACCAGAAAGACATGCTCGTTGATGAACCACAGCACAAGGGCTCACAGGGACGGGAATTCGACCTTTCCCAAGAAGTGGTTGTTGCAACTGTCCTCCTAAGGTCTACCCGTGATCTTTGGAGGCGGTGCTAGGCTTTTTCCTGTGACCCTGGTTACTACCACTGATGGGAAGGTTTGTAGCTTGGGTGAGGCTTTGCCTGAGATGTTCCTGATACCAGATTTGGTGAATACTCGATTATCACTCATTTCCACTGATGATTAGGGGGATATAAATGAGACAGACAGACGGTTGTACCAAACGAAACGTAGAAAAGCAATGATAGATAAAGTTGTCAACCTTACCTAGGATTGCCAAGTTGTACGACACGGAAGAATGCCCAAAGCTTCTCACAGGTCCGAGGTATATGAGCGAATGTGATAAGCGACGCTGCAGTTACGGCAACCTGAGCTATAGCAGTTGATCGAAGCAGTCAGGCCTACTGCACAGTTGTCCGTTTGGAGAGTGATAGTATTGACCAACTGAGAGCTGTGCGTTCTGTAGCAAAACGTTTTTCCGGTGAAACTTAACTTTCGTAGAGGAAGTATCCAACTGGGAAGGCTTATATATAGTTATTTCCGAGTAGAATACAAACGAGACAAAACACTTCAGTATTCAAAGAGCGCGCGCCAACCTGGTTGGTCACTATTACGTCTCCTCTTAGCCTTCTGTATTCCAGAGGGTGCGGATCCAGCACAACCAGTCGTTCTTCACATGTTTCAGACCTAAGTCCTCGAACAGATTTTGTTGAACGCCCTCGGACACGTTCTTAGCCAAGTTCATCCTTCTAGAGAGAAAGAGAGAAGACGATGGTCCCGATCTTCAGGTGAGACCTTATAGAGCTGTTGGAAATTTGGTGAAAGCATCTACGATCTGATTGTCTAAGATTTACTGAAGCCAAGTTTCCACGAAATGCGTTTCTGTCGTGGTTAGCACACGATTTTAAGTCTTGAGGGATTAAGCCGCCCAAATCCTCCTCTGTCGGTGACAGTTCAAGTTCCATGCCGTTGTGCCCATATACACCAGATGCGTCGTGTTTAACGTGTATCATTCTGCATTTCTCAGGATTAAATGTGGGCCTGTCGGTGGCTTCCTAGTTGTGAAGTTAAACCTTGTCGTGGAGAAACACTGCCTCCTTCACTTCCGATCTCTCTCCAAAGCTTCAGATCATTGGCGAAAAGGAGGATTTCGGAAGAAACCTGTTGAAGCAAGTCGTTTATGTATGCTAGAAAAAGGAGAGACCCTAATACTGAGCCTTGGGGAACGCCACTTGGACATCCTGTTTCTTCGGACATAGAGAAACTCACTCGAACTCCGAATGAACAGCCTCGTAGAATGAAGACGACCAGTCAGCGAGCGGAGGTCGAATCCCAAATAATTCTGATTCGTCAATAAGGCAGTCGTGATCCACACAAGCAAACGCTTTGGTAAAGCCTAGGCAGATAACGTCAATTCATCCTCGATATTCAAAGATGCTAGTCCACCTATGTGCTACTGTGGGAAAATTGGTAGTGCAGGAGTGCCTTTTTCGATTTCCATGTCGCTGGGGTGCAAAAAGTTCATCTTTGTGAGGTTATCCCCTAGTCCATCGGGTATTAACGATTCCATTACTTTGGAAGAAGTGGATGGAAGTGTCACCGGTATGTATTTCCTTGCATTACTAAGTTGACCCTCTTGGAAGA